ATTGTTTCTCTTACCTGTCCGAATGGTACTGCTACCACTTCCTTTGATCAAGTTGTGGGCGATATTTTTGATATCTATAAGATCCTACTTGGGACCAGCTCCTTCGTGGCTAACATTGATGATGAGGTTATCCTTCATTCCCCCCCCCCCCCATTCTAGATTCTCTCTATGTTATTTTTTTGGCTCTTATTACTAATCATGAGATATTCTCCGTTTTCAAACTTATCGGGACAGACAAAGCCCCGGGAAGTGATGGTTTCTCCATGGAATTCTTTCTTGCAACATGGGACGTTGTTGGGGATGATGTTTGTTGTATGGTTAAAGACTTCTTTACCATTGGTCGCATTCTTAGGGAGCTGAATCACATTAATTTGACTCTTATCCCCAAGTCATCCACTTCCTCCGGGGTTGGGGACTTTAGATGTATTGCTTGTCGTAAAGTTATATATAAAGTTATCTCGAAGATCCTTGCCAACTGGCTCAAGATTGGTCTTCCTTACACTATCAACCTTTCCCAATGAGCTTTCATCAAATGCAGAATCATGTCCTAGAACATCATTATCCTTCAAGAGCTCCTTAAACACTACTTAAGGAAAAGAAGGTCGCCCCATTGCATGCTCAAGCTTGACCTTCGTAAGGCGTTTGACTCTATCTCTTAGGACTTTTTTCGGAAGCTCCTTCACAAGTTGAATTTTCCAATGAGGCTCATCGATCTTATCATGGAATGCGTTACTAACACCTTCTTCTCGGTGCTTATTAGCGGGGATACCTATGGCATTTTCCAAGGCAAGCGGGGTCTTAGACAAAGGAACCCTATCTCCCCGTACCTCTTTATAATTTGCATGGAGTACTTCTCCTGCCTATTGAAATTTCAAAGTGATTCTCGGGAAATCAACTACCACCCGGGCTGCTCGGAGCTGAAAATTACTCATCTTGATTTTGCAGATGATATTATCCTTCTTTGTTGTGGCGACCACCACTCCATTGCGATGCTTGTTGACTGCATCACCCATTTTTGGAGAAGTTTCAGGGCTAAAGCTAAACATGGGTAAATCGAATATTTTTGTGGCTGGTGCCTCCCCAGAATTAACTGATTCGATGGTGGATGCCCCTGGTTTTACCAAGGGCTCTATCCATTTTAAGTATCTCGGAGTTATAATTGCTCCCGGCAAGCCAAAGGTTACTCAATTTGATGGCTTGATCTCATCCATTTCCAATTACATTCGTACTTGGAGTGGTTAATTTATCCTATGCAAGTCATCTTGAGCTCATCCATTCAGTTGTCCAAGACACTTGATGCTTTTGGCTTTCTATTTTCCAGACACCACCGATGATGATTGTTCATATCACTAAACTTTGTTGCACTTTTCTTTGGCAAGGTAGATCAGCGGCTGTGGCCTAGAGTGTTATTTCTTCACCCAAATCGGAGGGTGGGCTGGGACTTTGTTCACTCCCGGAATGGAATTCGGCTCTCGTTTGTAAATATATTTGGAGGCTTCATACTAACAAGGAGTTGCTATGGGTCAAGTGGATGCATAGCCGGTTTTTCCGAACATCTGACCTTTGGGATCGCGCCATATATCATTCGGACTCCTATTTCCTCAAATCGCTTAATGCCATTCGCGACAAATAGTCCGCCACTTTGGTGATGTTTCCCAAGCCAAAGTGGAAATGTTTCGATGGTTCCAGCTCAATCCCAACACCAGCTGCGTGTATGATTTTTTCATATCTTTGGGAACTCCATGGAAACCAGCCCGTGCTATCTGGAATCGGTATGCACTCCTAAAGCACACATTTATTTTGTAGCTTGCAATGTATGGTAAACTGAATACAAAGGACCGCATTCACTTCCTCGATATTGATTTGATTTGTGCTCTATGTAAAGATCATTTGGAGGACATCCAACACCTATTTTTTAGGTGCATGTTTTCATCGAGAGTTTGGAATAGCATTCGTTTCTAGCTTAACATACCGACGCAACTTGACTTGATACACCAAACCTTACTTTGGCTTCAGGACAGCACTACGCAAGATTCAAAAATTATTTTAATGTCTCACGCTAGTCTCGGTGCCACTGTCTACTACCTCTGGACCGCGGGCAGTAAAGGGACTTTGAAGAACTTCACCTTGGATCCTGATATATCCATTGTGGAAATTAAAACCTATTGTTTTCAGCTTATTGCTTAGATTATTTATTGTCAATCTTTTGTATTTAATTTAATGAGACACACTCTGGGACTCTTTCCCATTTTTGACTTACTCTTACATGATAGAATCATTAGATTCCTTTTGAATGAGGATTGCCTTCGTGCAGATAAATTTACTTATTGCTTTTTGAATGCATAGGTCTAGCTCATTGTTAGATAGCTTGATCATTTTATTTTCCCGGGTATGCCCGACATATTATATAAATATTATTTATTTATTTATATATAAAATCCTTGATCTTTCCGATTAAAAAAAAGGTAGAATTTATAATGGTATCACAACATATCATGTAGACATAATTTGTAAGATATTTGATTATGAGTGAGGTTTTGACCATTGACGTTGTGAAGTCAATAGAAAATCTAACAGATCAGCTAACCAAAGGATTACAGAAGGATCACATATAAAAATTTCTAAATGGGATGAGCTTAAAACCCATAAGTTAGAGACAATTACAGTAGTAACCCAACTAAATCATTTGGGAATCTCAAGCCTTGGTTCAATAAGAAAACTAAGCTGTAAAAGTTCAACACAAACACTCGATCGCCATTCTCTAAAAAACATCAAGTGTTAAAATAATGCAAAAATGGTGAGCTTGAATCAATGACTCTTAATAATTTTAAAAGTATGACTTGGATATTTTAAGATATAATTATTTTTACAAGTGTGAAGAGTGAGTCACTCTAAAAGAAATATTTATGAATCCAGAGTCATGATTCATGATCGAAACAAATCAAAATGTGAGAATAAATGAGGATGAGATAGCGACACATCAATATTATTGACTCAATATACAATGGGGTAGAATAGTTCAATGCATCATGACAACTGGACCACTAGTACACTTTGTAATGTTAACCATAGAAGCTTCAAAGTCACAAACTATTTGTCTCGATGTAATAATGTCTCTCTGAAACTGAACTGTGCATCTATTCTTTTCTGGCATTTCTACTCATATGGAGGATTGTTGAATAATCGGTTAATTATTTCATCGATTAAATTTAATTTTAAAAATTTAAATTTTAAATTTACATAATCGATTAATCGATGAGTGAAAATACAATAAGCCGGATAACCAAATTAATTGAATTAATTTGGATAAAATATATATAATACCTTTGTCCGGCTTTAAGGGTTTTATTTACTTTTTGGAGTGTTGATATTTGAATATTAATTATTATATCAAAATATACTATAAATTAAGAAAAAAATTGCAAAAATACTTCAATTAGTATCTTATAATTCTAGTAGAAGGATATTTGTACAAAAAATGATACAAATATAAGGATATTTTTAATGTTAAGTACAATGACGCAAAATGTAGATATGGCCCTTAGAGGCGAACGGAGGGAGTATTATATATTAAATATGAGACTTGATTAATATTTGACTAATTTTGTCTGTCTCGAGACGAATCAAATTGTGAAGTATAAAGTTAAACTCGAGTGTATAACCTAAGTCACAGGATATCCAGTAAAATCATATCCGATGAATATATCTATTATAACTTCAAAAAAAATGTTTTAATTTATGTAAATTTACAAGCAAGTCGAACGCAAAGTTTTAAATTAACGTAAATTATAACTTTTAATAATATTGATAATTAAACCGTAATTAATAACCGTTGATTACTTATATACAATTTTGATCAAGTGAAGAGGCCGATACAAGGGTCTTTCATTCTTCATTCTCAACATACTAACCAACATATTCTCTCCCATCTATCTCTACTCCTATTCCAATGGTAGTATTTATGGTGAGTTTTTCGGTCATATTCAGTCTTCCTAACCTTCTGGAAAAGCTCGATTTCATTATGTTCATCGAAGCTTTGATTTATTGAGTTGTCACCTAAGTTGAAACGAAAGTCATTTTACCTTTGGGGACAAAACGTCATCACCGAATATAATATCGGAATGTAATTTGTCTTGTGGGCAAATGGTATCCTCCATTCAATTTCATTCTTATTTTGTATCACTACACCGAATTATTGAATACTTTATTTTATTATTTATCATTATTTTATTTATTATTTTGCATAACAATATAATTACTAATTTATTGAAAAATAACGGATATAAGGTATGTTTGTTTGTAGGAGGTTTGGCCAAACCTCTTGTACGATTACTATAGGTTTGGAAAGTAGCCCAAATTCATCCAATTCTTTTTTTTTGTTCTGTTCGACAGTGGATAACCTGCTGCAGTTTTCTTACTTTTTTTTTTTTTTTTTAATTAAACTCGAGAAGCACAAGATCATATCTTTTTAGTTATTTGATATTTATTTATATTATAATTTTAAAAAATATATACAATATATACTATCATTTTGTAAAGAAGAAAAATTTCTATAATACAAATAAATAGTTTTTTAAATATATATGTTGATATAATTAAATTCATAAGCAAATCATACAATTATTAATTTTAAAATTTTAAATTTAATACAAGTTTAAGAAAATTGATTTCAGATATATCAAAACAATCAAATAAGATAAATTAATTCCGAATATAAGAATATATATTTTAAGAAGGCACATGAATATTGTTTATTTACGTTGTAACTATTTTTGCATTGTTTCTCAATTTTTTTATTTTTAAAACACATCACTTTTATTTTTTACATTTAATTTAACTTATATGCTTATTGAAAATTATTATAATTTAAAATAAAGCAGAGATGTGATACGTACAAAAATAGACGGTAGGGTCAATGGTCGGATTAATGAATGTGAAAAGACAAAAGAGCCCCTGAATAACCGCGTCGGACATTGTGAACTGCCTTTCATTCCATTTCGGCGGCTCAATTCCACTCACATTCTTCGTTGCTTCCCTCCTTTACTCTTACAACCTTTTTCTTCGATTTACTTCGCATTTTGTTGTAAATTCATCACTTCTCTGATTTGATTTTCCATTTTCAGTAGCTGAATGAGTTTCTGGTGACTGTTTTGGCGGACAGTTGTAGTTTGTAGCACGAATCTGTATATGCGTGCAAGGATTTTCAGGAGCCTTGGTATTGGATTGTGGTTGGTGATTTGATGGCGGAGGGTCGGCGCTACGCGCTCAATACTCAATTAGGTGACACTTCCTTTCTCTTTTGTTTTTATATATTTATTTGTTTGTTTTGGTGTTATTATTAAAACAGCTGCTTTGTTCGTCCATCATCCGTTTGAGTTATGCTGGATTACAGTAAGTAGTATTTTTTTTTTTTTTTTTTTATGCTATGTTTCAGTGGTTATGAATAGGTGTATATACTGATGTTGCGTGTGTATATGTGGTGCTGAATTGCTAAATGGGAGAGGAGAATGTGTCGCGTTAATGTTACAATTTGATTCGAGGAACTTGAAAAAAAATTAGGAAGGGAAGGAAATGTTGGGCGAGACTTAGCGAAAATGGGAGAAATTTTTTTTCTGGTAGAGGATTTCAAAAGAAGAAAATAAAATAGTGAGAATAAAATAATTTGTGAAAAAAGAAAAAAAAAAAAGGTAAATCTTTTAATTAATTGAAGGAAAAAATTATTGGGATGGATGAGAAGTATAGATTTCTTGACTATTTTGGCAGAAGGAAGGGCAAGATTAATTTTTCTCTCATTTTTCACACGGATTCAAGGAGAAAGTGTTTACTTCTGTTTTGTTGCTTTGAAATTTTGGAGATGAAAATTGGTGTGGGATGCTATGTTTCAAATTAAAATTATGTGATGAACCTGATGTGTTTTAGAGGGAAATAGAAATGCACTGTATAAATGGAAATGAAAACATAACTAAAGACGTGTGTTTACTTCTGTTTTGGAGGGAAATGTAAACCGTAGTACATCGAATAGTGAAACATTGGAAACATAGTTAGAAGTAAATACAGACAGTTTTTAGCCTTTAGACTTTATTAATTCATTGAAAATTGTATGTTTGTTCCTACATTCATTTATTTATTTTTAGCATATGGTGAAACTTTATCCTGTCTGAGCTGCAAAGTTTCTTGTGTTGATGGTCTTTTATCAACATTATGGTCGAATGAGTAGTTTATCTGAAGAAGTGTTAATCTGTGTCAAATGTCCATTGTATGCTTATATTGCTTGTTGTTTTCTGTTGACCACTTAAAAAGCATACTACAACATGCTGTTATTTGTTGCTTAGTACAATTTGAGGTTCCATGTTTTAGGGTGTGCATGGCTTTGTAGCTGCAATTTTCCATTTGTTGGTTCAGTACCCTTGGAGCTTATGCAATGCATTTGCTTGCTTATGTGGAAGAGACAGTGATAAACAACCATTTTATCTTGTCTCTGTTAACATTTTTAGAGTCTTTTAGTTTTTCAGTTTGAAATCATATGCCATTTAATACTTTTACCACAATGCTTATTGCTTTTTTCCGAACTTTACCCTTTCTATGTCCACATTTAAAATGAATATGGGCATTCTAGACTTCTAGTCACCTCATTATATATTTTAATAGTATTTTAGTCATATTAGTAACTTCTTATGTTATTTTGTTTTAATCAAATATTTTATTTCATTAGTTGCTGCGCCATCGCCTAAAGCAATATGTACTCTTGAATGGAGAGAGTACTTAATAATTCTACATCTCTATGTTCTGAGTTGACTATACTAACTAACCTGAAATGGTTGCTTTTGCAAATGACGAGGTATCATATGTTGGAATAAGACGTCTTAAATTTATTTTCTCAGGTTGCATCAGTATTTTTTTTTCCTACCTATTGTAAGGAATTATGCTCAGCTCTTCTGAAATCATGAAATTGTTTTGAATGTTGATTCAGATATCAAGCAGATACTTTTGGAAGCACAATATCGCTGGTTGCGCCCTGCTGAGATTTGTGAAATTCTTCAAAATTACAAAAAATTTCGCATTGCTCCAGAACCTCCTACAAGACCTCCAAGTATGGGTTTCTATATTTTTCCTTTTCCTAATTTATAGTTTGACATTGACTGTGATATGTCTGATGCTCTGGTTGAAGGAAACTGATAGTTATTATCTAATGGAACACATAATAAACACATTCTTGATTAAATTTATGGGATCGATGACTCTATGTTGGTTAAGACCTTTGGTCATAGGTCTCCATATAAAGTTATATATATGTATATCTTAGTTTTCAAAATGCAATTATTTCTTTATGAAGTAAAGAGACACTTGGACACATCATTTATAGATTATTTTGCTTTAAACATCAATTATAATTTAGTTTTGGTTACACCTATACTGTGATAGTGTATTTCTGCATCCATGAAGCAATTAACTAAAGAGTTGGTTTGATAATCTAATCTCATCTCAACACAAACTAATGGTCATTAGTTGCAGGGAAAGGTGGTTTCATATGTTCACACTGAATGGGAAATAAATGCTACAAAGCAATGCTTTTCCTATGGACAATTCAAAAAGTCAATTCTTATTTTATTGCAAATTCTTTGTGAACTTTTTCTTCATTCGTGGTCTGAAGGAGAATGCTATCAATATGATAAAGGGATTTAAGGGTTCTTTTTGTATTAGTTATTCAACTTGTTACTTTTATCTTATTGACATATATACATTTGGCATGGTGATTTCATCCCATTGCCTATGTATTTGGATTGCTATTCTCTAAATGCATGCTTATGAACTTTGAACCCTTCCATTTCATTGTTGAATCCTAGTTTGTTCCACACAGTTTATTCATGCTACTGTATCATGAACGATTGTGAATAATCAATCAGACATGAGTGTCTCTCATACTATTGGTAGTGAAATAGTGGTACCTCTGGAGGTTGGCATTGGGGGAGTGATGGATGCATATTTCTTAAGATATATATATATATTTTTAAATATTGTAATGCATTCTGTGTCATCTCTGTATTTTGCATGCGGTCTCTATACACCTATATTTTCATCAAACATGTTTTGCAGGTGGTTCTCTCTTTCTTTTTGATCGAAAGGTTCTGCGGTACTTTCGAAAAGACGGCCATAACTGGAGAAAGAAAAGAGATGGGAAGACAGTCAAGGAGGCTCATGAAAGGCTCAAGGTGAGTAGTATTACTGTTCTCTATGGTCCCTTATTAGGTATATGCATAGATAGGTGGAGATGCAATTTCTTATGCACACTTGTAACTCTACCTGTCAAAGCATGAAGCAATCATAATATAAGAATGCGCGTCAGATCTTAGCTCTAACATCATTCTTAAAGTTTTGATGATACTTCTAAATAACACAACATAGAATTGACATTTGTTCAGGCTGGAAGTGTTGATGTACTGCATTGCTACTATGCCCATGGAGAAGAGAATGAAAAATTTCAAAGACGTAGCTATTGGATGCTTGAAGAGTATGTTAAAACTTCATTTTAAAACATGTAGTGACCGGAGAATCATATTTAGTTTTATATAAGAGTTTGATACATTTGTGGTGTGGTTGACTTCTGTTTCAGGGAGCTATCTCACATAGTTCTTGTTCATTACCGGGAGGTCAAGGTAATAAAATTCATTTTATAATACTCTCTCTGACTTAGTAAGTAAGCCCCTCTTAATGCTGATGAGTTGGTTCAGTATCTCTCTTGACATGCTTGTGTGTTCATTGTGTTTTGTCCTCCTTTCTTTCACTATTCAATCTATCATTTTCTTTCCAATAACTTCACATCCATTACCTATTTTCAATTCAAGATATCACATCCAATGCCTATTTCAACTCAAACTGTCACATTCAACTACTTTTTCACCTCAAAGCCGAAAACCGAAAACGAAAACACCAACACAAGCAAACACGCTTATTTTCCTGAACTTTAAACTGTAAGTTTGTAACAGACTTGACGTGTCAATAGTTCAAAGATTTAGTACTATTAAGCATAGAATCTCATATCTCAAAAGTAAAAAACGGAAACAACTGTAAATCTAATAACATTATTGGCATTGATATTGTAGGAATGTGAATGGTTATTTTTGTATAATTATGTAGTTAAGAGTAGTATGAAAGACATTATGATACTTATATATTATTTTAATAAGATGATTGTAGAGTACAAGAGTAATAACCACTCTTGAGGGTGCTTGTCAATATGTGTTTGTGTTGAATTTGCATATAAATATGGTCTGATGAGTGAGTTATCATTATGGTTTAGATTTTTGTACTTATATATTTGGAGTGAAAGCTATCCTATATGTTTGTGTGGAGATGTTGAAAAAGTGTAAAGATTAAAAAAATGAGGCATAACAAAATGATGAATTTTTTCAAGATAACTTGAAGTCAGTTGTGCTTTGGCAGTTTGGTGTTTGATGCAAAGTTACAGTTATGCTTGCTTGTTCTCCTTATGATGCCTCAGAGTTGAAGTCTTTCTAGAACTCTGATATTTGTTTTCTTCACAGGGAAACAGGACAAATTTCAGTCGCCTGAAGGATGCTGATGGTATTCCTCATTGTCAGCAAACTAAAGATGATGTATCTTACTCTGAGATGGGAAGATCAGGAGCCTCTCAATTTCCATCTTATGATTATCAAGGAGAACAAGTTGCAGATACAGCTAGTCTTAACAGTTTTCAGGCTTCAGAACATGAAGATGCTGAATCAGGTTGGTGGATTGATTTTATGTTTATTTTAAGATGGCTATGTGCAATCCCCAGGATTTTCTACGAAAATGACTTGAAAAATATTACATCCAACTACTATTTAAACACCAAACACACACGCACCCTATGTGTTACTATTTTTGAAGTACTTGTACTACTCCCTCTGTCCCAAATCATTTGTTATTATTTCTAATTTGGAATGTCCCAACTTTTCTTTACTTACACACAGTTTTCCTCTTCTACCTATCTAAAAACAATGTTATAAAACATACCCAACAAAAAGAAGGGACAAAGAGGTCAAAAAACTATTAAAATTATACTACCTAAAAAACCATGCTAAAAGTAAATCAAGCAAAAGAAATGGGACATAGGTAGGATATTGTAGGTTTTTCATCAAATAAAATATGAAGCTGTTACATTTTTATGTGATTCAATGTTATGATGAATTATATACAAATGCAGCTTACAAGCATCAATCAAGTCCTGGATTCCATTCTGTTCAAGAGTTACAGTCTCCTACATCACTAACAACAGAAGCTGCTACTGTTCCCTATTACACAGTTTCTACATCAAGTAATGCCTTTAAGTCTTGCATTTATCTTCAACAATTGTATTTTTCTTTTTTCTTCTATCCAGAACAGATTTTACTTAAAAGCTATTCCGTATTGAAATGGAGATTAGGGAAGTGGTATTATTCAATTGAATGTTGTGAATCTAATGTCTTCTATTATTAATAATTTATTGTAATGACAACATTACTGCCATGGCAGGTACCTATGGAGGACAAATTTCAACTCTTCCTAGCATGAGTTTTGGAACAAACACAAGAGAGAAAAATAAGAATCTTATAGATCATGGTCTCTATCAGTTTCAACAAGACCATGCATTCCAATCTAGAGAAAATTCTGTTGAAAGTACTACTGGTTATCAATCTGTCAATTTTCAGCCATCATTATACTCACCTGCCCAACCAAGTTCATTGAGCATGATGTCTGGTCGAGAAAATCAACTCCTGGATCAAGTTGTTTACCAGCAGGTATATAACTATTTGAAACGTTTTATTTGCTGCAATGCAATTTTCCTTACAGCAATTTATTGCTTATGTAGTTTACCTGTAGATAAGGTCTCATGGATTCTGAACTAATCCTCCCGTGTAATATGGTAAATTAGGTTTGTGGGGAGAGGAAGTGAGGATTGGGGACATTATCTTACTGTTTGGAAATTATAAGGTTGTGTTTGGACATGTTTTGAAAGTGTTTTGGAGTTTTGGATTGGGTTGAAAATTGTAAAACCTATAGAAAATAGGTGTATGAATTGACATAAATAGGTATTTGAGTGTGATGTTTTGAATAAAAAACAGGTTTTTTAATGGTATTAGATGTTATATTTTTTGAAAAAAAAAACTGTTGATGAATAGTCCAAAAGCAAATTTGAATAACAAAGTAAACAGAGCCTAAGGTAGATAGTATAACTGGTTCCATGGAACTGTAGCTGCACATGTTCTTGGGAAAGACTTCATTACCTCTAGATCATTTTTGTTTAGCTCTGTTCATGAATTCATGTTTTAAGCTATATCTAAGACATTATAGAAAAGCTTTTTCCTCCTATGGTCTAATATTTTTCAATAGATAATTTTTATACCTTTTTTGTTTGTTGAGTTCCACATTTTCAATATTTTTATGGTTATGGTTTGTTATCGCACGACTACTGATTTTATCCGCTCCATCAAAACCTATGCACCTTTTTCTATTTTAGGAGGTTAGTAGAATTGTGATCTTCAATATTCCTAGGCAACGCTAAACTTGGATAAATATAGAGTTTGCTTACTCTTCTTTTTTCTGTACAGTGAGATACACAATTGGTGGATGCCTAACCATTGATTTCATCTCACCATGCTGCATTTTCACACCCTCTGTTGAGGGTAACCTTGATAGATATACCCTAAGAATTATTACTGTCAACTGAATTATGATATCACATTTCTTTTTACATGATGTAATTTGTTAACAAGTAATCACTGTTTGGCAGATGGATATGGATTGATAGATCTTATATGTTACTAATGTTAATTGTAGCAGGCCTCTGTTCATGATTCTCAGCATGCATCAAATTGGTCCATGGGTCAGAAATCAGCTGAAAGAGTGAATTTAGGGCAGGACCATTATTATCCATTGTGGAGGGATCCCATGTCAGATCAAACTACCAAACCAAATAGTGTAGATCAGGGAGAACTATCCAACGCAGTTGGCCTTCATAATACATATTTAACTGAGCAAGGCAGAGAGCTTTTGCAAGATGATCTTCAACTCCAATCCTCAAAGGTTGTTAGTAGTTCTCATGACTCATATTCTGATGGCAAACTTAGTTTAGAGGATAAAACTGATAATACACCCTTGAAACAACCTTTACTGGATGGATTTATGCGAGAAGGCCTCAAAAAGCTTGACAGCTTTGACCGCTGGATAAGCAAAGAACTAGATGATGTCACTGATGCTACTATACAGCCAAGACCTTCTGTGTACTGGGAAACTGTTGGAAGTGAAGATGCAGATGAATCAGATATCTCCACTCATGTGCCCTTAGACAACTACATTCTTAGCCCCTCTATTTCTCAAGACCAGCTATTTAGCGTTGTGGATTTCTCGCCAAATTGGGCATATTCTGGGACTGAAATTAAGGTAACTAGTCTAATTTGATTATCAGACATTCCTCTCTTGTGAACCTTTTGAAATAAATGGTTGGTTTTGTCAAGCAAACAAAGTATAAGAAATCTTAATCTCTCTATATATATTGTGTGTCACTCGTGATCAGGTGCATGTTATCGGAGGATTCTTGAGGAGTCCAGAGGAGGTGCTGAAGTGTAAATGGGCTTGCATGTTTGGTGAACTGGAAGTTCCTGCTGAGGTTGTAGCAGATGGTATTCTTCAGTGTTTTACACCTTCACATGACAATGGGAGAGTTCCATTTTATGTGACATGTTCAAATAGGTTAGCATGCAGTGAAGTACGAGAATTTGAATTCCGCCCTATTCCAGATGTCGACATTTCAGATGCAGGCAGCATTACTTCTGATGAAACACTGCATATGAGATTCGGGAAGTTGTTGTCTCTGGAACCAAGCACCTCTCAAACCTCCATCCAGAGTAGTTCTGCCGAAAGCTCACAGCTATGCAGGAAAATCAGTGCAATGCTTAAAGACGACTTGGAGTGGGAACAAATGGTGAACCTTACTAAACAGGATGAATTCTCACCTGATAAGTGTATGGATCAACTCCTACAAAAGCTTTTAAAAGAGAAGTTGCTTGTTTGGCTTCTCCAAAAGATAGCTGAGGGTGGTAAAGGCCCAAGTATACTAGATGAGCAAGGCCAAGGTGTTTTGCATTTTGCTGCTGCTCTAGGTTATGACTGGGCCATAGCACCCACAATAGCTGCAGGTGTCAATATCAATTTCCGCGATGCAAATGGATGGACCGCACTTCACTGGGCAGCACATAATGGCAGGTTGGGGTTGCTGAATTACATCGTTTACATGGCTTGCAAGGTTATTTCACTTTTGCAGGCACAAGGTTATTTCACTTTTGCAGGCATACTTGTTTGAACTTATGCATAATAAAAAAACTTCAAATGTCCTCTGAGAATCATTTACATTGAAGAATCTATATTTTAATCTTGAATATTTCAACTTTGATTTAGTCATTTGTTCTAATTTCATTCCTCTTACATACCTACTATATATTTATGTCTTTCCATATTTGGTTTTTGCAACGTTAGAGAGCGAACCGTGGGCCTTCTCATCTCCCTTGGTGCAGCACCTGGATTGGTGACAGATCCCACCCCCAAATACCCATCTGGAAGACCTCCTGCTGACTTGGCGTCCAGCAATGGGCACAAAGGCATTGCTGGTTACCTTGCAGAATCTTCCCTGAGCTCCCACCTATCCTCAATCACGTTGAAAGACTCCAAGGGGAGTGATAGAGGAAAAGATTGGGTGCCAATCTCTGAGACTTCAGTGAGCTACGGTGATTTGCCCTTGAAGGACTCATTAGCTGCAGTAAGGAATGCTACTCAAGCTGCAAGTCGCATTCATGAAGTGTACCGGGCACAATCCTTCCAGAGAAGGCAGATAAAAGAATATAATGACCGTGAATTTGGAGTCTCGGACGATCGTGCTCTTTCCCTTCTGGCTCTAAGGAGCAAGAGGATAGGACAACAGGATGAACCAGGACATGCAGCAGCTGCAGTACGGATTCAAAACAAGTTCCGAAGCTGGAAAGGCAGAAAGGATTTCCTGTTAATCCGTCAGCAAATAATAAAAATTCAGGTAACACTGTTGTACATCTTTGTTTATAAACTGCATTCTGGTTCTCCCATCGATTCATTTACTGAACAATTTGAACACCAAACTACTGACACTTGGCTTTTCTGACAAAAAGGCCCATGTGAGAGGACATCAGGTGAGAAAGAACTATAGAAAGATAATATGGTCCGTTGGAATTTTAGACAAGGTCATTTTGCGGTGGCGACGGAAAGGTAGAGGACTGAAAGGATTCAGACCCGAAGAACATAGTGCAAGCTCCAGCATGCGTACAGAAACACAGGAGGATGACTATGACTACCTAAAAGAAGGCAGGAAACAGACAGAGAAGAGACTGGAAAAGGCCCTTGCTAGAGTAAAATCAATGGTTCAGTACCCTGAAGCACGAGATCAGTACCGCAGGGTGTTGAATGCTGTCTCCGAAATGCAGCAGAAAAAGGTATACATCATTTATTCAAGTTAGCTATCAAATTTTATTTTTATTTCTCTAAACTTAGGCTCTATATAGGTAGTGAAGAAACATATAATCCCTCTGCCCACAAAATATATGGTCATTTGAGCTGGACATGAGTTTTAATGAATGCAGTACTCCTTCCGCCATGAAAAAACAGGTTCATTTGGAAAAAAATTGTTAAAAATAGTCACAAGTGGTATAATATTTTACTAAAAAAGTGAACATGTCTATTATTTATGACAGATAAATAAGAAAAGTGAGCGTATTTTTTATGACGGAGGGAGTATTATATTGGTTGAAATGCAACCTAAAAGTAGGGGTATTTGGGAAGTATATAAGTGAGTTAATATGGTGAGAAAATGTTTGATAAATAGAGTAAGTAGTTGTGGCTTATTTGTAAATAAATGTAATGTTGAAGGATATAAATTAAAGAGTAAATAAGAATTATTTTCTATAAATAGAAAATTCATATTTTTTGTGGACGAAACATAGATTTGATGGGTAGAGGCCCTGCATGAGGAGTCTCACAGCAGACGTATGATATACATACAACACTTGGTCGATGAAACATATTATGTTGTAAACGTGCTCTGTGCCAGCTAAACCTAATTCCAAAATATTCCCTATATCTTGATTTCTAATGAGAAGTAATTCTACAAAAAAGATAAATTAATCTGTTTGAATCCTTGTGCAGGCTGCCTATGACAAGATTTTATGCAATCCAGAAGGGGATTTTGACGATGATCTAATTGACCTCGACGCCTTACTGGAGGATGACACTTTCATGGCAATCGTATAGTGGGACAATACTCGGGTAAAGTTTCTAAATTCTTCGTGTCAATAGATCACCTCTTACCTTAAACCGGTTAATCGTGTTTATAAGTACATGCATCCCTATCTCTGCACAGTTTCCTTTATGTTTAAAGTATACTCGGGTCAGAGCTATTGATTTGTAGTCTAACAGTTTATTAAGAATGGGCAGGGCTGATATTGATTAGGGAGATATAGAAGAGTTTGTTTTAAATTAGCATGTTGATATGATATAGATACACAAGTTATTTTTATTTAGTGGTTCTGATGTAAATTGTGTATTCAAAAGTTGGAATGTTTAGTTCAATTTGATGAAAATAGATGCAAAGTGAAATTACCTCTAGTTTGGACTTCTTGTTTTGATTTGATTTGTTATATTTTGGATTAGTTTGATGATATTAAAATTTTGAATTTAAATATTTGTTTGATGTTTAGATAAAATACTTTTAAAAAATAGTCTATACTTCAAATGCAGAAGTTAATTTTAATACATGATGTACTTTGGTATAATACAAGTTTTAAATACGAACAAATAGCAAGCACTTTTATTTCACTCAGTATTTGCGGTGTGAAATAAAGACAACTATTTGTATATTTTTTCTGTGCTAAAATTAACACCGTGCTAGTATTATATTTGGTTAGGTAGTAAATGTAACAGTGCAGTATGATTATGATAACTGCAAGATTATTTTCTATGCAAGTAGACGCTGATAATGAAGTTGAACTAGAGGCGGCAATGGGTCTGGAATATCAGGACCCAACTTATTTATTTGGAATTTATAGTCTAATTATTTGAGTATCGGGTCGGGTATGTGTCAGGTATTTTATATCCGGTGGGTCATGTTTAGAGTGAATCCGGATCTATCCGGATCCGTTTAATATATTAGTAGTATATCGATTATATTTATGAAAAATATCATTTCTAGTAATATAGTTATATTAAAAATATTTTTGTCGTTTTGATTTATTTATTATAATACTTTTAAATAAAATTCATAAATTTTAATATATGTTGGGTTCGGAATTGGGTCTAATTTTAAGTAAAATCTCACATAATTGTAAAAGTAGTTCGGATCTTGTCGGGTATAGTTTAGGTCAAGTCCGATTGAGTCTCAGTCCAACAATATGTATTCGGATCCTGGGTGCGGATGAACCTGACCCATTACCATGACTAAGCAGAACTGGTGTAGGAAGTAGCAACCAATGACGTATTCTGGATGGCCTTGGGATATAAATCAATTATAATTCCCATTTTGACTATATTGCAGTTAGGATACCTGATTTGTTAGCTTCAAGTTTATTATTGGATTTGTGAAATAAGTGTTATTAAACAGCAAGTCCATAGCGAATTTCGCTACCGAATCTTGACTCCTAACTGTTGCAGGAATTGGTTGAACAATTTTTACAGATTTGAATCGACATAAATAGAAGAGAAGGAACTTAACATGTAGAAACCTACATACATATATACCTGGATAAGATAATTCATATATTGTAACAAAAATAATACATTTATAAAATTGAGGATTCAGGTGTAAAAATCGAGTCGAACCTAATAGCCTGCTTGCTCACGGTCACCTCCAGGTCATTTCTTACGAAATTGGATTCGTTAATTTTTTATTTTTTTTTAATGAATCCAATTCTATAAGGAATGACTTGGTGGTGATCGTAAGCAGGCTATTAGGTTCAGCTCGATTTTTACACCTGAATCCTCAATTTTATAAATGTACTCATTAAAAAACCAAACTCTTGGACACTAAGTACTCAAAGCATACCATCCGACCATCATTTTACCTGAAAAAAAAACATCAAAACCAAAAAACACAAAAGACTAAAAAAACCCCTTTACATGGTGAATGAATTCAGGCTGTGTAGTTGTAGTCAATGTTAAATGAACAATTGAGATATTTTTGTTCCATTTATTTCGTAAACATGACCAACAATATACACCTTATTGAACTTCATAACAATCTCTCTCAAGAGCTTTAATTTATGAACATAAGCAACCAAATAATTAATCAAGTGGCATAATAAATAAATAAAGACAGAAAAATTACTGGTCACCAATACCATGTAAAAACCTAAAACTAAAATTGTTTTGAATGACATGAGATTAACGTAGAGATAATCTTGGAAAATTTATTTTTACTGGCTGGTTAAACACAAAATCTTATTTATAGGAGAACGATTAACTTAACTACTTATCCCGGAGACACAATAGACAATTATATTTTTTAATGCTACATATGTAATTAGTATGCAAATAGTGCCTTACACGATTTGTATAAGTTTTTAAAATATATAATTTAAATAAAGGAAAATAATAAAAAAAACCTTTGCAATTTTCCGAATTTGCTGAAAATTTTTTGTGGTTCTAAAGTTCCAAAAAACCTTATTGTGGTTTCCAAAATGTTGTATACTTACCAATCTCTCTAAATTTTACTAACGGACGTTAAATTTTATCATATTTGACCGTTATACTCTTATTTATATATTTTTTTAATTTATTTTTCTCTCTTTCTCTTCTTTCTTCCTTCTCCCCAATTGTATCATATTGTTCTTTCTTCCTTCTTCTTCTTCTTTCCCAAAATTCTTCTTTAGGCGCACCAAGCTCTTTCTCTTTTCTTTTTCCCCAGTTTTTTTTTCTTCTTCCCAAATTCTTCTTCATGCCACTGCAGCCCCACCCAATTCTTTCTTTTCTTCTTTTTCTCTAATTTTTTTTCTTTCTTCTTCATCTCCAATTCTTCTTTGAAGAATAAAGAATTGGAAAAGAATAAGAAGAAAAGGAAGACGACGGACAGAAGCGAGCATGGACGAAGGAAGGAAGAAGAGAAAGAGAAAAAAAACAGAAGAGAATGAGAAGAAGAGAAAGAAAAAGAAGAGGAAGGAGCGGGCTCAAGGAGATGAGCCACACAAGGTTTTTTCTGTTTTTCTTTTTTTTCCCAATTTTCTTTTTTTTTTCTCTTTCTCCCCAATTTTTTTTTCTCACGCCACCACAACCAATCGCACTAGGTTCTTTCCCTTCTTCTTTTTCCTCCTTGTTCTTCTGGTTTGAATCCGGTTCAAGAACTGGCGAACCGGTGGTTTGGAACCCGATGGGCAAATCTGGATGTCAAATTGATTTCTTAGATTTTTGGGTTTGATGAAATAGAGGAAAAAAATCAACGGTGAACAATAACTTACGCATTCTCATCTCCATTTTTATGTCCGGTCAATTAATTGTGTTATAAATTTGGGATCGATTTCAAATTTGGTTGTGTTTAGCGGATTTAAAATGAAAAACATGAATAAGGATTAAATTTTAAAAATATGTAAGAAGAATAAGAAAGAAGAATAAGAAAGAAGAATAATAAAGAAGAAAGAGAATAGGAAGAAGAAGAATAAGAAAGAAGAAGCTTCCGTAAAAAGCCAGGGTATTTTAGTCATTTTATACAAAAATATATTAATTTATGGACCAAAAATCGCATTTCAGGTGTGTGACATGCAACCTCCGTTAAATCTTAACAGAGGGGGGGAGGCAACATTTTGGAAACCACAAATAGGTTTTTTGGAGTTTTAAAACCACGATGAATTTTTAGCAAATTCGAGAAACCACAAAGTTTTTTTTTTTTTGTTATTTTGCCTTTAAATAATTACTATAATAAAATATATCTCGTAAAAAATACAAATATTCTTTGAACATATCAATTATTAATACAAAATTTATTATATGATGATTTTTTTAATTGTGTCCATTAGGGGTTGATAGTATAAATATATAAACGCGGTCTATGAAAGCTCGTTTGAACGTATCCGCGTTCTAATGATTTATCATTTTTCAATCATTAAACATGAAATTTTGCATATTAACATATGTAAGATATACATGTAAAAGTTTCAAAAATTATGGTTCGTGACAAAAGATAAATTGAGATTGTTTATTGTTAGAAATTTTGGGGGAAAATAATGAGATTGTGTTATTGATCATCAAAATAAAAGGGCCTATATATAGGCAATATAAAACGGACTCGATAGACTCAAATCTTAATAAAATAAGATCAAATCTAAATCAAAGAAAATAATATCAAAGAAATATCTAAATCTAACATCCCCTCAAACTCAAGATGGGGTAGTACAAACCAACTTGAGTTTGTCCAAGAGTAATCGGAAACGGCTTGGAAGAAAAGACTTGGTGAAGATATATGTTGTCTGATCTGCAGAGGATACTGGAACGAGATGAACTCCCCCATTGACAACATGTTGTTGAATGAAGTGACAGTCAAACTCAATATGCTTGGTGCCATCGTGGAATGTATCATTATGGACCATCTTCATAGTACTCTGACTATCGCAGTGAAGAGCCGTAGAAGATGGCTGAAGAGTACCAAGATCAATGAGTAGTCTTCGAAGCCATAAAAGTTCTGAAGTAGAGTCAGCAAGAGGACGATACTCTGACTTGGCACTTGAGTGGGAAACTAAAGTCTGCTTCTTGTTGCGCCAAAAAATGAGAGAATCACCTAGAAAAAAGCATAAACCAGTGGTCAAACGACGATCATTGGGATCACCAGCCCAATCAGTATCATAATAACTGCTGAGATTCAAGGACGAGTGAGAGGAGAAGTGTAAGCCATGCAGAAGAGTACCTTTCACATAATGAAGAATATGTAAGACGGCAGAGTGGTGAGAGGTCCTCGGAGCGGCCATGAACTGACTCACAATATGGACTGCATGAGCGATATCTGGTCGAGTGACAGTCAAATAGATCAAGCTCCCAATAAGCTAACGGTAGAGGGTAGGATCCTCAAGAAGAGAGCCATCATCAGGGGTAAGTCGAACGTTGTAGGCAAGTGGTGTGAAGGCTACCTGACAGTCTGTGAGACCAACTCGAACAAGAAGATCGGAGGCATACTTAGCTTGGGACATAAAGAAACCATTGAGAGAATTATAGACTTCAAGTCCTAAGAAGTAATGAAGGGGACCCAAACTCTTCATCTCAAACTTCTGGTTAAGATATATCTATAGATCAGAAATACCAAACGCGTCATCTCCCGTGATAATCATATCATCAACATAAAGTAAGAGTATAACTATCCCAAATGAAGAACGAAGGAGAAATATGCCAGATTCGTAAGCGCATGTGGTAAAACCAAACTCCAATAGTGCAACACTAAATATGGCATATCAAGCCCGAGGGGCCTGCTTCAACCCATATAAAGCGCGACGTAAGCGACAAACCTTTCTAGACGACGAGAAACCTGGAGGGGGAGTCATATAAACTTCTTCAGAAAGTGTGCTATGTAAGAATGCATTCTTGACATCTAACTGAATAAGGGACCACTGATGAGCAACAACAACGGCAAGAAGACAACGAACAGTAGTGAAACGAGCAACATGAGTGAAGTCTCATCATAGTCAACTCCATACTTCTGGGAATAACCTTTGGCCACTAAACGACCCTTGTAACGGTCAATATAGCCATTAGAATTAGTGTTAGTTTTTAAAAACCCACTTGTACTCAATAGGTGGCTTGCTAGAGGGCAAATCTAATAAATTCCAAGTGTGAGTCTTTGTCAAATCCTTCAATTCCTTAGTCATAGCTTGCTGCCATAATTGATCAACACCAGTCTCACGAAATGACCTAAGCTCAGGATGAGATAATATGACAGAGTAAAAATGATAATCACGCAAGTGAGGAGGAGGGTGACTCACTCTATGTGATTGATAATGTATGACAGGTCCAGGGACCGCAGACGGATCATCATCTGGAGATAAGGTCGGAGGTGGATCAAAAGCCTCAATTGGAGGTGAATCAAAAGCCTCAACTGGAATAGGATTCGGAGGCGGTAATGGAGCCGTAGAATCAGGATCGGGAAAAGAGGCAGACAAAAGGGATGCACGAACAATATTTAGAATGATGATGTTTGCGCTCAGCGCGACCATTCCGTTGAGAGGTGTATGGACAGGAACGCTGAATCAATGTACCTTGAGCAGAGAGAAAACTTAATAAGGTAGAATCTCTATACTCAAAGGCATTATCACTACGGAGGGTCTGTATGGGATAAAAAATTGAGTTCGAACTATTTGAGAAAATTGAATGTATGTTTCAGATAATTCTGAACAGTGTTTCAAAAAATATATCCATGTAAAACAAGAGTAATCATCTATAAAAATGACATAATAACGACACTCACTCATAGATGGAACATGGGAAGGACCCCAAATATCAGAATAAACAAAGGAAAACAGTTTACTTGCGACTGACATATTTTCTAAAAAAGATAAGGCTGATTGTTTTCCCAAATGACAGTGTAAGCAATCAAATGACTCAAAACGAGTAGGACCTAAATGACCCTTATTAACGAGAGATTGAATTTTAGAGGAATACGCAGGACCAAGACGAATGTGCTATTGAAGACTAGGGGAAGGAAAGGTATTACAAGGGGTATGAGTAGTAGCAGCAAAGAAATTACTTGGAGGAACTTTCAAAGATTGTACATCAAATAGTTGACCCACTTTTTTACCTATCCCAAGAATTTGACCCGTGCGTGGATCCTGAACCTGCACACCAGAAGAAGAAAAGGTAAAAGTAAGTCCTTGCTCAACTAGTTGGCCAACTGATACAAGATTTAAAGTCAATTGAGAAATGCAATAAATATCAGGAAGAGATATAAATGGTAGAGTTACAGATCTGAATGAGTGATATTCATGCGACTCCCATTAACAATAGTGTATAGGCAATGAAGAAGACACAAGATGTGCATTAGTCAAGAAACCAAGTGTAGGTGCCATATGATGGCAGCAACCAGAATCAAAATACCACGAATTTTTCATACCAGGTGGGGAATTGGAAGCAAGAACTTGATGCAAGAGAATCACGACATTCTGGACTAAGGAAGCCATGCCAGTAACAACACAAAAATAAAATCAACTCTGATGAAAAAACCAATCACGCACTGGTATAAATCACAAAATCAAGATTCAAATCAAGATATCAAATCGAATGATCCAACCGGTAACAGTCGCAAAATGAAATCAACTCCGATTACAAAAACCAACAACACCACGACATAGGGAACCAAGACAGGAGGCGACGGCCGAACGCGCCGCCACACGCGGCCCGAAGGCGGTGGTGTCGGAATGGTGGCGACACTGCAATATACGTCGGAGGCGCGTGTGGGCTCCATGCGCCGCCTTTCGGGACAAAACTTTGGGGGTTGAGTGGCGGGACGACGGCGGAGCTGATGGTGAATATACAATAATCTTTTTAAATATAATATACAATTATCTTCTAAATATAAAATACTTATTTTCAATTTCTAACTTTTATAAGTGAATATACATAAATATAATATTTCAATTATATTTTAAATATAAAGTACTTATTTTCAATTTCTAATTTTTATAAGTGAATATACAATGATTTTTTAAATGTAATATTTCAATTATCATTTTAAATATAAAATATTTTATTTTGAGTGGCTAATTTTGTAAAGTGAATATAATATATTATACTCCCTCAATTTTGGTGTAATATATATATTCACTTTTGATCGCATAATTTAAAAAATTGGATATAATGTTCTAATTATATTATCTATACTTTATATATTTAAGATCTGAATTTACAGAATTTAAATTCTTTTTATATATATGTAATGTTTTTTCTTTTATAGTTTTTTAAGTAGATTAATGGTTTACAGTTTTATATATTGCGGGTCAATTTCACTCATTTTTATCCTATTGTAGTTATATTCTATTTTTGTTTTCCTAAATCTGCAGATACCAGTTCTTTTTCTCACTTCCACCGCTTACATCCAACTTCCCCCTCCAAAGCCTATGCCGGCTACCATTCACTTCCACCGTGCACATCAAGCGCCGTCAATTTGTCGCTCACTTCCATCGCCGACATCCGACTTCCCCTTCCAAAGCTTTGTCACTCCGCCGCTCACTTCAGCCGCCCGCATCCGACTTCTCTCTCCAAAGCGTCTTCAAGCAGCTATTCACTTCCACCGCTAACATTCGACTTCCTCCTAAAAAGCGTCTTCAATATGTCGGTCACTTCCGCCATCCGAAATACACTGCTATTTTCTTACTTCCATAGCCTACATCTGACTTCCGCAGTCTCTTTATTGTCTACAAAAGTTAAATTCTATAAATATTTTATTTTTTATGCTTTTATTTTTGCTTTCTATCTTTCTACTGTGTATAAATAATTTAATATGATATTTTTATATTGTTTAGCATTCCTCATAATTTATGCCCATCTCGTATTCAAATTTTTATTTTCCAATCATTCTATTTTATTTTTATTATCATGTTTGTTTGATTATTTTATTTTTTAATATGCAATTATAATTTCGCTCTATTTGTTCGCTAAATCATGTTGCTACTGGAGACCTCTTTTCGTTTGACTATAAATATATTTTTTTATACTTTTATTTGTGCTTTTTACTTTATATAAATAATTTAATATTATATCTTTTGTATTTTTGTTAAAATTCATTTTCAATTATTTTTATTAGTTTTTTCTCAATTTAATTACTTTCAATAATTTATTTATGCCTGCAACTGTATATAAATAATATAATATGATATTTTTATATTTTGCATGTCTAATTTATATTGCAGGTAATTCTTTTATTGGTAAATTAAAATTTATTATAGTTAATTTTAAAATTATTTTCTATTATTTTTATATTATTTTTTTCTCTCATTATTTTAGGATATTGTCGCTTTTAACGAAATATTCAATTATAATAAATATTAAACTACATGTATGATAGGTGGATACTATACAAGTAGAACAAAAAGTTTCTCAATTGTGATGGATGAAACAACTCCGTTTGAAGCAACATAGGAGTCGGCCCGTCCAAAATTTGGATTTGATCATTAATCATTTTGATGCGCAATGTCTGGGACTTTGTCATACCTGCGGATTTCCAAGTGACCCTCCCAATTATCCAAACGCACATATACAAAAGAAGAAAGTACATTCGAGAAATGTCATTCATATTACTCTTATTTTAGTTATTACTAATATGATGCAATTTATTACATATTTTTAAGATGATGCGGTTATACTATTTTTGAATTCGGAGAGTGACCAACGTGATGTGAATTTTTTCATCAATAATAATGCTACAAACGAAGGTAACATTATATTATTTACTTTGGTATTTGACATGTTTTTATTTCGATTTATTAAGTTTTAGAAGGATATTTTAAAATTATATATTACAAAATATTGAAATAATTTTTGGTAGATTTACTTTTAGGATACTACTTATATTTAAGGTATATATGTTCTCATACACGTATATGCATATATTTGAAACAAATATGTAATTATTTTATATTTATTATGTTATTATATTATTTATCTAATATTATTTTAATAATCTATACAAACCGTGCATCGCACAGATTTATACGCTAGTAATATATTATATTCCCTCAGTTTTGATATAAGATATATATTTACATTATTATGCTCAAAATTAGGCATGAATAATTTTTGGGTTGGGCCAGCCATGCACGGTTAAAAATTCAGGTTGTGCCAGCTAGTGCGAACCGGATCGTGCATGATTCACACGATTTATCGAATAAATTTTTAATTTAAATATTTTATAAATATATAATAAAATAAAAAATTAATTATATATTTAATATTAAAATTCTTATTTATCGATTAAAATACTATTTTTTTTTATCATAATTGTATTTATTTAATTAATACTCCATCTTTCCGGTCACAATTGACATATTTTTCATTTTAATGTCTCGTAACAGTTGATATATTTTGTTTTAAGTAAATTTATAAATATTAAATATATTTAAATAATATAAATTAACTTAATTAAATTTCTATGATATTAGGTATAAAACCACTCAAAACTATTTTGTTTATATATCTCTTCAATCTCATTCAAAATCTCTTTATTTTTATTTCTATCCTCAATTTCACTCAAAATTCATTTATTTCTATCTCTTCACAATCAATTTTTTTTTAAAAAAAAAAAACATATTTACAATTCTCTATTTTGTTTTTGAAAAAATAATTTATGTTAATCATAGATAAATAAAAATATTTTTTTATTCAATTGTATTATATAAAACTTTATTCTCTATAAAATCATATTTATATTGTATATCCTCCGTCATTCAATTGAGAATATAATTAGATGACAAGATAAAGTATATTTTATTGAGAAATTCTGTTTAAAATATTTAAACATATATTATTTTTTTAATTATATATATTAATTTTTATTTTAAAAATATAAAAATTACTACTCATATAAAAATAATATCAAAATATAATATTATTAACTTATTAAACTATATTTTTTTAAATACTGTGCACTAACCAAACGTGTCAACTGTAACGAGACGGAGAAGATATATTTATTTTTAGTAAAAAAAATTATGCAAAATAAATTTAAAAATAAAAAAATAAATTAAAATTTGAGCTAGCTCTGCTTGCATAGTTTGAACCAGGCCGTGCCCGACCCTAAGCTTCCAGACCCGATATAAAACTGAGCAGCCTAGTCCAGCATGGAAGAAAATGAACCTAGTCAACTCCAAATCGGCACCTCTACGTAAGAGCATCTATAGTAGTTTACTTTTAGAAGACTTGAATGTTAAAAAAGAAGTCTTTTTATAAAATGGTTCATCCAATGACTGTTTTCTGGAAGTAAAAAATTGAAAAGCTTAAAATTAGCTTCGTGCAGGTTCTTTCTGCTAGCCTCTTTCTCTTTCCTCTTCCTTCTTCTCTATCTTTTCTTTCTTGTTCTTTCACCTGAAAGTTGAATAGAATAAAAAGTCATTGTATTTTGTACACATATCATATTAGTGTACACATAAATGCTTCCGTCGAAATTATGTGTTTCATTTTACAACTATTAATGTATATGTGTGATTACCTATATATATATATATAAATGAATGAGAATATTTGAAATTCACCCAATCAATCACATCTCTCTCGGTTGCATTTCATACATACACTCCAACTTAATATATATAATATAATATACATAAAGATACATATCATATACACGTATATAAATATTATACATATATTTTCTCCCACACATATATATATATTTATATACATTATATATATTTATATACACTATTATATTATATACAATATATATACTAGTGGTTAGCGGTAGAAATAATTAATATTTGTATTGGCTAATCCTATAATAATATCATAACACATTATCAGCACGAAGACTTTTGTTTATTATATTTTTGGTAAGTTTTATTTTTATACTATCTATATTATCTATTTTATAAGCTATGGAAAATCTTTCAAAATTTTCTTTTAAACCCTTGTCTCTCACCGGCAATAATTTTCTGACTTGGTCTCTTGATGTAGAAATGCATTTGGTTTCTATGGGCCTTGTTCATACAATTGCCAGTGAAAATACGGCTACAAGCCAAAATCGGGCTAAGACTATTATTTTTAGTCGTCACCATCTGGACATTCCTTTACAGTCCGAATATTTGACGGTGAAAAATCCACTTGATTTGTAGAATGGATTAAGGGAGAGATTTGGGCACTTGAAATATATTACTCTCCCCAAAGCCCGACATGATTGGCTTAACCTGGGGTTGTAGGATTTTAAAACTGTTACAGAGTACAACTCTGCTATCCATCAGATTACATCTCGGTTGAAACTCTGCAGAGAAATTGTTACTGAGAATGATAAATTGGAAAAGACTCTATCTACCTTTCATGCTTCTAATGTTGTGCTGCAACAGCAGTATCGTGAGAAAAACTTTCAAAAGTACTCACAGCTCATTGCATGTCTTTTATTCGCTGAGCAAAATAATGAGTTACTGATGTAAAATCATCAGTCCCGGCCCATTGGTTCCAGTCCGTTTCCTGAAGTGAATGTGACATTTTTTTAACGAGGCCAAGGACGAGGTCGCGGTCGTGAGAGTCAACGCGGTCGATATACCCCTTACAATCACCGCGGTTTTGACATTAACAGGAAGCAGAGTAAACTCCAATATGGGAATATAGCCGAAAAGGCTAAACAAGGAAAGAGGCAAATCGGCATTTGTAATCGGTGTGGCATTGAAGGTCATTGAGCCAATACCTGCAGAACAACCAAACACCTAGCCGATCTTTATCAAGCCTCACTGCAAAAATAGGAAAGAGGTCGAGACTAATCACGTTGATAACGATGACGACCCTGATGATGATCTTCTGGATTACGATACAACGCATCTTGATATAGCGAATTTTTCCATAGATCCAGCAAATCCCCAGTGGCAGACATACTATGTCATTTTATATTATACTATTTCATATTTTGTAATATTTAAATTATCGCATATTATCTTTTTGTACTACATATATCTGTCTTTATTAATATTGCGTTTATTTATATTTGAAGGTTAAGTGGATGTCAATCAAAATGATGCAAATATGTATTTCATTGACAGTGCAACGGCACATACTATATTGAAACACGAAAAATATTTCTCCTATTTGAAAAGGGAAAGAATGAATGTCAATACAATAAGTGGCACTGCAAAAAATAATTGAAGGCTCTGGAGAAGCCATTATATTTCTTCCCGCGGGGACAAAAATTGTGATACGGTATGCATTGTTGGGCACTAAAGCTTGAAGAAATTGACCGAGCTTTCATGACATTTGGAAAAATGGTTATCACATTGAAACTACAAGTGATACCAATGGTGAATTTTTATTGATCACCAATATCATTGATAAAAGGAAATGCATTATTGAGAGATTACCCTCACTCTTTATTGGTCTATATTATGCCAGATTAGGTGTTGTTGAAACACACCTCACGGTAGATCAAAAGACTACCGATTTTCAAGTATGGCATGATCACCTTGGGCATCCTTGTAGTATAATAATGAGGCGAATAATTGAGAATTCACATGGTAATTCATTAAAAGGTCAAAAAGTGTTAAACTCAAATGAGTTGACCTCTGTTGTCTGCACTCAGGGAAAATTGATAACCAGGCCATCGCCAGCTAAATTAGGTATTGAATCACTTACATTTTTGGAAAGAATACACGGGGATATATGTAGACCAATAGACCCATCGTATGGGTCATTTAAATATTTTATGGTGCTTATTGATGCATCTACTAGATGGTCACATGTTTGTTTATTATCTACTCGCAATATGACATTTG